AATTTTGTGGAGAATATTTCCTTCATTTACATTATTCCCCTAAAGTGAAGTTTAGTTAGAGATTTTGGTCCATTTCGGAAAAGGTACAATTTCTACCAAAATAATTTATTTTGTTTTTAAATACGAAAATTGATATTCGGATTTTATGGATATATATTAAAGCTACAGATCTTATGTGGACGGCGACCCAAACTAAAATTTTGTGGAGAATATTTCCTCCACTTACACTATTCCCCTAAAATGAAGTTTAGTAGAGATTTTGGTCTATTTTGGGAAAGCTACAATTTCTACCAAAATAATTTGTTTCGTTTTTTAATTGCCCAAATTGATATAGGGGTTTTATGGATATATATTATATCTACAGATTTTTTGTGGTCGGCGACCCATACTAAAATTCTGTGGAAAATATTTCCTCCACTTACACTGTTCCCGTAAAATGAGGTGTAGGTAGGGAATTCGGTACATTTTGAAAAAGGTACAATTTCTACCAAAATAATTTGTTTTGTTTTTAAATACCCAAATTGATATTCGGGTTTTATGGATATATATTATATCTACAGATTTCATGTGGTCGGTGACCCTCACTAAAATTTGGTGGAGAATATTTCCGCCATTTACAGTGTTCCCGTAAAATGAGGTGTAGGTAGGGAATTGGGTACATTTTGAAAAAGGTACAATTTCTACCAAAATAATTTATTTCGTTTTTAAATACCCAAATTGATATTCGGATTTTATGGATATATATTATATCTACAGATTTCACGTGGTCGGTGACCCTCACTAAAATTTTGTGGAGAATATTTCCTCCATTTATACTTTTTCCCTAAAATGAAGTTTAGGTAGAGAGTTTGGTCCATTTTGAAAAAGGTACAATTTCTACCAAAATAATATTTTTTAATATAAAATGCCAAAAGATGTAAAAATTTGAAAGGTATATGTTATAGATACAGATTTCACGTGATCGGCAACCCAAACTAAAATTTTGTGGAGAATATTTCCTTCATTTACATCACTTCCCTAAAATGAAGTTTAGATAGAGAGTTTGGTCCATTTTCGAAAAGTTACAATTTCTACCAAAATTATATTTTTTGTTTTTAAAAACCCAAATTGATATTCGAGATTTATGGATATATATTATAGCTACAGATTTCATGTGGTCGGTGACTCTCACTAAAATTTTGTGGAGAATATTTCTTTCATTTACACTATTCCCGTAAAATGAAGTTCAGGTAGAGATTTTGGTCTATTTTAAAAAAAAAAGGTACAATTTCTACCAAAATCATTTATTTCGTTTTAAATGCCCAAATTGATATAGGGATTTTATGGATATATATTATAGGTACAGATTTTATGTGGTCGATGACCCTCACTAAAATTCTGTGGAGAATATTTCCTCCATTTACCCTAATCCTCTAAAGTGAGGTTTGGGTAGAGATTTTGGTCTGTTTTGGAAAAGGAACAATTTCTACCAAAATAATTTCTTTTGTTTTTAAATAACCAAATCGATATTCGGGGTTTATGAATATTATTATAGCTACAGATTTCATGTGGTCGGTAACCCAAGCTAGAATTTTGTGGAGAATATTTCCTTCACTTACACTATTCCCCTAAAATGAAGTTTAGATATAGAGTTTGGTCCATTTTGTTAGGAGGTACAATTTCTACTAGTTTATTTTGTTTTTAAATGCCCAAATTGATATAGGGGTTTTATGGATATATATTATAGCTACATGTGGTCGGTGACCTAAGCTAGAATTTTGTGGAGATTATTTCCTTCATTTACACTATTCCCCTAAAATGAAGTTTAGGTAGAGATTTTGATCAATTTTGAAAAAGGTACAATTTCTACCAAAATAATACTTTTAAATATTAAATGTCAAAATTATATTCGGAATTTGTGGATATATATAATAGCTAGAGATTTCATGTGGTCGATGACCCATACTAAAATTCTGTGAAGAATATTTTCTCCATTTAGCCCACTCCTCTAAAATGAGGTTCGTGTAGAGAGTTTGGTCCATTTTGAAAAAGGTACAATTTCTACCAAATTAATATTTTTTAATTTAAAATGCCAAAAGATGTAAAGTTTTTAAAGGTATATATTATAGATGCGGAATTCTTATGTTCGGTGACCCATATTGAAATTTGATAAGGAATATTTCCTCCTGCTACACTACTCCCCTAAAATGAATTTTAGTGGGGAGTTTTGGTCCATCTTGGAAAAAGTACAATTTCTACCAAAATATGTTTTTTTAATACCCTAATTGATATTCGGATTTTATGGATATCTATTATAGCTACAGATTTCATGTACTCGGTGACCCATAATGAAATTCGATGAAAAAAATTTCCTCCTTTTATAGTATGTCTCTAAAAGGAATTTTAGTGGGAGATTTTTGCCCATTTTGGAAAAGGTACAATTTCTACCAAAATATTATTGTTTTGTTTTTAAATTCCAAAATTTTATGTAAAGATTTTAAAGGTATGTGATATAGATGCGGATTTCTTATGTTCGGTGACCCATAATGAAATTTGATGAAAAATATTTCCTTCTTTTACACTACTCCCCTAAAATTAATTTTAGTGGGAGATTTTCGTTCATTTCGAATCGAAACTTCGCTGAATTAGCTTCCAGCAGCATGCATTTTTTTCTCATTTTTTTCCTCAAAGTTTAAAAATTGATGGCAATATTTATTTTTATTATTTCCCCCATTTTTTTTATACCATCATTCCCTTCACCCCTTCCCCTCCTGCATCATATCGTTGCCATATCACAACCATTTACCACTCATTGCCATTATAGATTGGCATCTTTACTTTTTCCCATTTCCTAATAGTTTCTTTTCTATTAAAATTTATTTATTTGTCAATTACTTTTTATTTAAACGCTTCAACTTAGCCACACACGCACACACACATGCAACACCTTTGACTCCTTGCGGGGTGAATTCGCCCTTTACTATTTATTTTTGTTGTTTCTTTTTTCAATTTCTCTTGGAAGTTATAAAACACGTTTCCATTTCAATTTTTCTGTTATTTTATTGCGTATTCCGTTTAGAATTCTCTTTTCTTACTTGGCGTTTCTTTATCCTGGCGTTCTAAATTGCCCTGCCATTAGAAAAACCAACAAACATTTATTGGAAATGAAACGACGGGAAAACAAATTATGGTCGCTTTCCTTCAAAAAAGGTTAGGGGGGAAATATCGATAGATGATGATTACGGTAACTCCCACACACCTAACTTCAAGGGGGAGAAAATGAGAATTGAGAGAGAAGTGCGAGATTTTTTAAAAATATTTTTAGAAGACATTAATAGCCTTGGAATCTTAAAATTTTTTTCGAAGACATTAACAGACGTAGATTTTTTAAAAAATATTTTTTCGAACTTAGCAACAGACGTAGATTTTTTAAAAATATTTTTTCCAACTTAGCAACAGACGTGGATTTTTTTAAAAATATTTTTTCCAACATCTTAAAAATATTTTTTTTTAAATTAACAACAGACGTGGATTTTTTAAAAATATTTTTTTAAAATTAACAACAGACGTGGATTTTTTAAAAATATTTTTTTAAAATTAACAACAGACGTGGATTTTTTAAAAATATTTTTTTTAAAATTAACAACAGACGTGGATTTTTTTTAAAATTAACAACAGACGTGGATTTTTTAAAAATATATTTTTTTAAAATTAACAACAGACGTGGATTTTTTAAAAATATTTTTTCGAACTTAGCAACTGAGGTGGGTTTTTAAAATTATTTTTTCGAACTTAGCAACAGACGTGGATTTTTTAAAAATATTTTTTCGAACTCAACAACAGCAGTGGATTTTTTAAAAATATTTTTTCGAACTCAACAACAGCAGTGGTTTTTTTTTAAAAATATTTTTTTCAAACTTAGCAACTGACGTGGATTTTTTAAAAATATTTTTTCAAACTTAGCAACAGACGTGGATTTTTTATAAACATTTTTTCGAACTTAGCAACAGACGTGGATTTTTTAAAAATATTTTTTTCGAACTTAGCAACAGACGTGGATTTTTTAAAAATATTTTTACGAACTTAGCAACAGACGTGGATTTTTTAAAAATATTTTTTCGAACTTAGCAACAGACGTGGATATTTTAAAAATATTTTTTCGAAGATATTAACTGACGTGAATTTTTTAAAAATATTTTTTCGAACTTAGCAACACCCGTGGATTTTTTAAAAATATTTTTTCGAACTTAGCAACAGACGTGGATTTTTTAAAAATATTTTTTTCGAACTTAGCAACAGACATGGATTTTTTAAAAATATTTTTTCGAACTTAGCAACAGACGTGGATTTTTTAAAAATATTTTTTTCGAACTTAGCAACAGACGTGGATTTTTTAAAAATATTTTTTCGAACTTAGCAACAGACGTGGGATTTTTTAAAAATATTTTTTCGAACTTAGCAACAGACATGGATTTTTTAAAATTATTTTTTTCGAATATAGCAACAGACGTGGATTTTTTAAAATAATTTTTTTTCGAACTTAGCAACAGACGTGGAATTTTTAAAAATTATTTTTTTCGAACTTAGCAGCAGACGTGGAATTTTTAAAAATTATTTTTTTCGAATTTAGCAACACACGTGGATTTTTTAAAAATATTTTTTCGAACTCAACAACAGCTGTGGATTTTTTTAAAAATATTTTTTTCAAACTTAGCAACAGACGTGGATTTTTAAAAAAATATTTTTTCGAAATTAGCAACAGACGTAAATTTTTTAAAAACATTTTTTCAAAGATATTAAAAGTCTTGGATTTTCTAAAAATATTTTTTTCAAAAATATAAAAAGTCTTGGATTCTCTAAAAATATTTTTTTCAAAAATATAAAAAGTCTTCGATTTTCTAAAAATATTTTTTTCAAAAATTGGATTTTCTAAAAATATTTTTTTTTTTCAAAAATTTGAAAAGTCTTGGATTTTTTAAAAATATTTTTTTTTCAAATTGTTCCCAAAATTTTAATTCCAGAAAACGCATGCGTTGCACCACAAACATTTATCTAACCGCTCTGGCCATTACGGACATCTTCTTCCTGACCATGGGCCTGCTGCTCTCCTTCCAACACTACCAGTACATACATCTGCATGTCAAAATCTATTGGGAATTGTACGGGACCTTTACATGGCTGTGTGATGCCTGCGGTAAGTTATGGATGAACAGCTTCAAACTCCTTGCAAAAGCAACAACAATAGAAACGAGTTGTTATTGTTTTTGTGTGTGGCTGAACTCAATTCTGAAAAGATATTTGAAAAATGCTAACAATTTTTTCCCCTCTCCGTCTACTTCCCGTTCTTCGCTATGTTCTACGTCATTTTTTATGGTGGTATTTTTTCCGGTTGTTTTACGGCCTGGCCTCATTGGACTCTCTGACGACGATGACGACGTGGATGATGATGTTTGTGGCTTCTGGCTGGCTGGCTGGTGGTGAACAACACATGATGCCTTCCATCATGCTCTTGGATTGTTATGTATCTTTTCGCCCGGCCATGCATTTGCGAGTGTGTGTGTGTATGTTTGTGCATCCATCTCCATCATTTATAGCCTATATATCAATTTACATAGCTGTGTGCTTTACCATCGAACGATTTATTGCGATACGTTATCCCTTGAAGCGTCAGACATTCTGCACGGAATCGTTGGCCAAGAAAGTTATTGCAGGTAAGCGAAGAGATAGTGAGTTCATATTTTTTTTTTTGAGCCAGAAAAGAGGAAAGATTCTTCAGCAATGAAGTGGCAGCAGGGGTGGGCAAAAGGGAAATTAAAGAAGAAGGGAAATTAAAGTAATCTCAAAACGTGGATTTTTTAAAAAAATGTTTTTTTAAAGTAATAACAAAGTTGGATTTTTAAAAAAAAATTTTTTCAAGAGATCAACAAACGTAGATTTTTTAAAAAATATTTTTTCAAGTAATCGACAGACGTGGATTTTTAAAAAATATTTTTTCAAGCAATCAACAGACGTAGATTTAAAAAAAATATTTTTTCAAATAATCAACAGACATGGGTTTTTAAAAAAATATTTTTTCAAATAATTAACGGAAGTGGATTTTTTAAAAAATGCTTTTTCAAATAATCTGCCGTTGTGGATTTGAAAAAAAAATTCAAGTAAAAAACAGACGTGGATTTTTAAAAAAATATTTTTTCAAGTAATCAACAGACGTGGATTTTTTAAAAAAATATTTGTCAAATAATCAATAGACGTGGATTGTTTAAAAAATATTTTTTCAAATAATCAATAGAAGTGGATTTAAAAAAAAAATATTTTTTCAAATAATCAATAGACGTGGATTTTTTAAAAAATATTTTTTCAAATAATCAATAGACGTAGATTTTTTAAAAAATATTTTTTAAAGTAACCAACAGACGTGGATTTTTTTAAAAATATTTTTTTAAAGTAACCAACAGACGTGGATTTTTTAAAAAATATTTTTTCAAATAATCAATATACGTGGATTTTTTAAAAATAATTTTCCAAAGGTTGCAATAGACGTGGATTTTTTAAAAATAATTTTTTAAAGGTTCCAACAAGCATGGATTTTTTAAAAATAATTTTTTAAAGATTCCAGAAATAAGTCAACATACGTGGATGTTTTAAAAAAATATTTTTTCAAGTAATCAACAAACGTGAATTTTTTTAAAAATATTTTTTTCAAGTAATCAACAGACGAGGATTTCTTAAAAAATGTTTTTTAAAGTAATCAACAGACGCGGATTTTTAGAAAAAAAAAACAGACGTGGATTTTTTAAAAAAATATTTTTTCTAATATTACATCAAACGCGGATTTTTTAAAAATATTTTTTCCAATATTACAACAAACGCGGATTTTTTAAATATATTTTTTCAAGGTTTCACCAAACGTGGATTTTTGAAAAATATTTTTCAAGGACCTACTACAAACGTGGATTTTTAAAAAATATTTTTCAAGGACCTACTACAAACGTGGATTTTTAAAAAATATTTTTTCAAGGACCGACTACAAACGTGGATTTTTAAAAAATATTTTTTCAAGGACCGACTACAAACGTGGATTTTTAAAAAATATTTTTTCAAGGACCGACTACAAACGTGGATTTTTAAAAAATATTTTTTTAAAGGTTCCAACAAATGCGGATTTTTAAAAAATATTTTTTAAAGGTTCCAACAAACGTGGATTTTTTAAAAATAATTTTTTAAAGGTTCCAACAAGCATGGATTTTTTAAAAATAATTTTCCAAAGATTTCACCAAACGTGGATTTTTTAAAGATCCCAAAAAACGTCGATTTTTTTTCTAAAGGTTCCAAAAACGTTGATTTGTTAACAATTATTTTTTAAATATCCCAACAAACGTGGATTTTTTTAAAAATAATTTTTTAAAGATCCCAACAAACGTGGATTTTTTTAAAAATAATTTTTTAAAGATCCCAACAAACGTGGATTTTTTTAAAAATAATTTTTTAAAGGTTCCAACAAACGTGGATTTTTTAAAAATAATTTTCTAAAGGTTCCAACAAATGTTGATTTTTAAAAAAATATTTTTTTTAAAGGTTCCAACAAACATGGATTTTTTAAAAAATAATTTTTTAAAGGTTCCAACAAATGTGGATATTTTAAAAATATTTTTTAAAGGTTCCAACAAATGTGGATTTTTTAAACAATATTTTTTGAAATATCAACAAACGTGGATTTGTTAAAAATATTTTTTTAAAGGTTCCAAGAAACGTGGATTTTTTTAAAAATAATTTTTTAAAGGTTCCCACAAACGTGGATTTTTTAAAAATAATTTTCTAAAGGTTCCAACAAACGTGGATTTTTAAAAAATATTTTTCAAGGACCTACTACAAACGTGAATTTAATAAAAATTATTTTTCAAAAATTTCAAAAAACTTAGATTTTTTAAAAATAATCTTTCAAAATTTTTAAGAAACATGGATTTTTAAAAAAAATATTTTTTCAAGGACCGACTACAAACGTGAATTTTTAAAAAAATATTTTTTCAAGGACCGACTACAAACGTGAATTTTTAAAAAAATATTTTTTCAAGGACCGACTACAAACGATTTTTAATGATTTTTATTTTTTAAAGTCAAAATATATTAAAAATATTTTATAAGAGTTCCAATAAATGTGGGTTTTTTTTAAAAAAATATTTTTTTTAAATAGTTAGCAAACGTGTATTTTTTAAAAAATATTTTTTTTCAAAAATTTTCACAAACGTGGTTTTAAAAAAAATTATTTTTTAAGATAACCAAATAACGTGAATTTTTAAAGAAATATTTTTTCCTATTTTTCTTTAATTTTTATTTCAAAAGATTTCTATTGGAATGTATTTTTTAAAAAATTTTTCTCTCCACTTTTGTTTAAAAATTTTCAATCGCAGTTATCATTTTCGTTTGCCCACCCCTGCTTGACACATGTCATACCACAGCGACAATAATTATGTGGGCACTCCCTCACTGAACTAAAATACGTGGTATGCGAACAAAACCAAGCGATCAGCCGCCGACCATCCAACCAACCATCCAGTCAGTCAGTCATTCACTCAGCCAAGCAACCAGCCAACAAATGCTTGAACGAATGACTTGACTAACTGACTGAATGGCTGTCGGAAAAAGACAACGATTGAAAATGGTAATCGCAAATAACTGCTCGTACGTAAGGCGGCTTTTCAGTACTTTCAATTACCTGACATTTGATCGGAGGGAGGGAGGCAGAGGGGCAGGTTGCTAAGAAAGAAAATATACAACAGTTTAACAATGGGTGTGTTTTCTGGGTGATGTGTTTAAGAGAAACCCCGTTTGAAGGAAATTTTCAAGTCAAATCTTAAAAAAAAAAACATTTTGAGGGTGGAGGGTTCAGAGCGGCTGGTGGAAACTTCAGCGAAGGATGTTTCAGATTTTTATTGGGATAATATGACTATATTTCCCATAATTTGTATTAAAATATAATACGATTGTCATTTCCTCTAAAGCTCATTGGCCAGATATAGAAATTTAAATTTTTCAGAGCATACTTTTAGGAACCCAATATTTTCTTGTCTTTTGCAGTTTAGCGAGTCTGCTATTCGAATACTTTTTATGGAGGAAGTGCCTTTTCAAAGTCATTATTATTTCTTGAAATTCTTAGATTTGTACCTAAATATTATTTTATTGCATACTTTTAGGAGACCAATATTATCTCTTTCATTCTCTCTCTTCTAATCAATACTGAAGCAGTCTTAACCAGGAATTCACCATTTGAAGTTATTCAGCTTTAAAAATGCTCGGATTTGGAGATTCATTTTCTTGTTGCATACTTTTAGGAGTCCGACTATTAGTATTTTTTTCAGAGCATACTTTTAGGAGTCCAATATTTTCTTATTAGGGGAAAATGTTACTAAAATACCCTTTATGAGGAGTTAGTCTATTTTAAATTCCTTCAATTTTTTTTAAAACCCTCAGCATTAAAGATTAATATTTTTCAGTGCATACATTTAGGAGCCCAATATTATTTCCCATTTTTGAATTCAATTGCATTTTTAATTAAATAATCTGAATGAGAGAAGATAACCAATTTGAAATTCTCTTCAAATCCTTCGATCTGAAATTTCATATTTTTCTTTGCATACTTTTAGGAGCCCTCTACTGTGTTTCCTTTAATAACTTTGTAAGCTTACCTTGAATATGTTCTTAAAGAGGGAAGATCCAATTTTCTTTTAAATCCACGGATTTGCTGATCAATATTTTTCAGTGCATACTTTTGGGAGCAGAATATTTTTTTAAATTTAAGATATATATTTGCAATTTTCAGAGCATACTTTAAGGATGGTTTATAAAATATTTTAAAATAAAATTTTTTTTAATTTCTTGTATTTTTCCTCATAGCTGTAACCCTCTTCTGCCTCCTATCCACAATGAGTACATTTTTCGAACACAAAGCCAGCGTCCAGTATCGTCTGTTGGATCCCATGGGCAAGCCATGCTCTTTAAATACAGAATCATTACCTTCGTCAGCACCAACTTCATTTCACATCACAGAGGCTTTGGCAAAGCCTGGTGGCAGTTTTTCCAACTCCATTGAAGGTAGTGGTGATGTTACGGCCAGTGGTGATGTAGACATAATAATGGCAACCTCCGAGGATATTGTGGCGAATTATTTGAAGCGTAGCCTGCAGCCACAAGAAAATGAAGGTAAGGAGGGGGAGGATTAAAAGATTTTTTTTATATTTTTTTTAATGGATTTTTGACAAATTTTCGGAAGATATTTTTTTTTCGAGGTACCAAAGAAAATTTAAGATTTTTGGCAAATTTTCGGAAGTTATTTTTTTCGAGGTACAAAAAAAATTTTAGGAAGTAGCAGAAGATTTTTTTTAAGGACAATCATTTTTTTTCCAATTTTTATAATTTTTTGTAAAAAAGGTTAAAAAAATAAAATAAAATTCGAAATTATTTCGAAAAAATCAAATTATTTCAATATTTTTTTTCTTCAAAATTATTTGAATTATTTGAAGCGTAGCCTGCAGCCACAAGAAAATGAAGGTAAGGGGGGAGGGAGGATTAAATGATTTTTTTAACATTTTTTTAAATCGGATTTTTGACAAATTTTCGGAAGATATTTTTGTTTTCGAGGTACAAAAAAATTTTTAGGATTTTTGGCAAATTTTCGGAAGATATTTTTTTTTCGAGGTACAAAATAATTTTTAGGAAGTAGCAGACGAATTTTTTAACGACAAGCATTTTTTCCAATTTTTATAATTTTTTGTAAAAAAGGTTAAAAAATAAAATAAAATTCGAAATTATTTCGAAAAATTCAAATTATTTCAATATTTTTTTCTTCAAAATTATTTGAAGCGTAGCCTGCAGCCACAAGAAAATGAAGGTAAGGAAGGGGAGGATTAAATGAATTATTTTATTTTTTTTTTTTTTTGGATTTTTGGCAAATTTTCGGAAAAAAATAGGGTTTTTGGCAAATTTTCGGAAGATATTGTTTTCGAGGTACAAAATAATTTTTAGGAAGTAGCAGACGATTTTTTACGGATAAGCCTTTTTTCAATTTTTTTTATTTTTTTGTAAAAAAATTTTCAAAAAAACTCGAATTTATTTCGAAAAATTCAAATTATTTCAATATTTTTTTTTTCTTAAAAATTATTTGAATTATTTGAAGCGTAGCCTGTAGCCACAAGAGAATGAAGGTAAGGAGGGGGAGGATTAAAGGATTTTTTTTATTTTTTTTTTAATTTTTTTATTGGATTTTTGGCAAATTTTCGGAAGATATTTATTTCGAGGTAAAAAAAAAAAAAAATAGGATTTTTGGTAAATTTTCGGAGGTTATTTTTTTCGAGGTACAAAATAATTTTTAGGAAGTAGCAGAAGATTTTTTAAGGACAAACCTTTCTTCAATTTTTTTTTATTTTTTTGTAAAAAAATTTTCCAAAAAAAATCGAAATTATTTCGAAAAATTCGAATTTTTTCAATATTTTTTTTTTCAAAATTTTCGAAATTCCATATGTTTTATAAATTATCTCTAATTTTTATTTTCTTAGCTTTTCCCTCCATTGTGAACATTCCCTCCCCGGACGATGTCCAGCTCAGTCCATCCATGGCCTCTGTTCGCGATTTCGATAATCAAAGCCAGAATGAATCCCAGGCGCTGGAGCCCGAAGACAGCTGTAAAAATGTGAGTAATAAAGGTGGGCCTATGTTTAGGTGGATGTGTTGAAGATCCAAAATTTTAATGGATTTTTTCCGATAACTTTTTTTTTGGATTCCAGGTGACCTATTATAGCAATGGTTTGGGCATATTGGGAAACAATGATGAATATGACAGAATTTGGTCATATGTCTCCTTGATTGTCTATGTCCTGGTGCCTCTAAGTGTCCTGTCCACATTCAATTGTTTTTTGGTGGTGATGGTGAGAAGATCGAATACCCTAAGGGGTAAGATGACCAATGCCAGTAGTATGAGGAAGCCAAAGGTGAGACAGAGAGAGAGAGAGGGAGAAAGAGAGAGAGAGAGCAATTGGATGAGAGAGGATTGGAATTTTTAATGTTGATTTTTTCTTTGATTACAGGACCGCCCCTCCTCAACCTCAGTTTCCCAGGAGAACCGTGTCACCATTACCCTAATCGCAGTGGTGGTGTGCTTCATCATTTGCCAGCTGCCCTGGGCCGCATATCTCATTGTGAGGCTGCAAAATAAAGATTTGGACTATAATCTGCAACGGGTGTTGGGCAATGTTTTCAATTTCCTCTCGGCCCTAAATGCAGCGGCCAATTTCTTTTTGTACTGCGTCCTCTCGGATAAATATCGCAAGACAGTTAGGGAGCTGATAACGGGACGTAGCAGTCGACGTGAACGCGGAACCCTTACCTCGACCAGTTTGATGTTCCACAATGCCAGCCGTTGCAGCTATCGGCCAGCACCTACCGGACCGCCGGGCATTAAATGAGAGTCACCCTTTGAGCCCACAGAAGAGAGCCTATTTTGAAATGCTGGGTTGAAGTTCCTCAAGGAAGAAGTTTTTTTTGTTAATTGTTTTAATTTTGAAAATGATTTTTCAAAAATTGTTTTGTTTTTGTGTCGCCGTTTTGGAGACCCAACCCTGGGTGAGAGAAGCAAGAAGAAACTCGGAATTTATTTTGAATGTTGTATATGTTTTTTTTTTAATTTATAAAAATTAGATTTTAAGAAAAAAGTCTTGATAATAAAAATATATAAAATAAATTAAAATATATATAAATATGTATAAATGTAAATAAAATATAAAAATATATTATTAAAAAATGGAAAAGCTAATTAAAAACGGAAAGGATTTTTGAAGGTATATTTTCGAAATATTCGATTTTTTGAAAGGATAATTTAAAAAGGACCAAAAGATGTAGAATTTTTTTTAATGGATATTTTCCAAATGACCAACAGAAGTGGATTTTTTTTTGAAAGGATATTTTCTAAAGGACCAAAAAACGTTAAATTTTTGGAAGGATATTTTCTAAAGGACGTGGATTTTTTGGAAGGATACTCTCTAAAGGACGTAGATTTTTTGAAATGGTATTTTCTAAAGGACGTAGATGTTTTAAAAGGGTATTTTCTAAAGGACTTATTTTTTGTGAAAGGACGATTTTCTAAAGGACGTGGATTTTTTGAAAGGATGTGGACCTTTTGAAAGTATATTTTCTATAGGACCTGGATTTTTTGAAAGGATATTTTCTAAAGGAAGGGGATTTTTTGAAAGGATATATTTTAAAGGACGTGGATTTTTTTGAAAGGATATTTTCTAAAGGATAAGGATTTTTTCTAAAGGACAGGGAATTTTTTGAAAAAATATTTTTTAAAGGACGTGGTTTTTTTGAAAGGATATTTTCTAAAGAACGGGGATTTTTTGAAAGGAAATTTTTTAAAGGATGTGGATTTTTTGAAAGGATATTTTCTATAGGACCTGGATTTTTTGAACATATATATCTTAAAGGATTTGAATTTTTTGAAAAGATATTTTCTAAAGGACGAGGACTTTTTGAAAGAATTTTTTTCTAAAGGACCTGGATTTTTTGAAAGGATATTTTCTAAAGGACGAGGGTTTTTTTAAAGAATTTTTTTTTCTAAAGGACGTGGATTTTTTGAAAGGATATTTTCTAAAGGACGTGGATTTTTTGAAAGGATATTTTCTAAAGGACGTAGATTTTTTGAAAGGATATTTTCTAAAGGACTTGAATTTTTTTGAAAGGATATTTTTAGAAGGACATGGATTTTTTGAAAGGATATTTTTAGAAGGACGTGGATTTTTTGAAAGGATATTTTTAGAAGGACGTGGATTTTTTGAAAGGATATTGGATATCTAAAGGACGTGGATTGTTTGAAAGAATATTGGATATCTAAAGGACGTGGATTTTTTGAAAGGATATTTTATATCTAAAGGACGTGGATTTTTTGAAAGGATATTTTCTAAAGAACGTGGATTTATTGAAAGGATATTTACTTAAGGTTGAGGCTTTTTTCTAAAGGACTTGGATTTTTTGAAAGGATATTTTCTTAAGGACGTGAATTTTCGAAAGCATATTTTCTAAAGGACGAGGATTTTTCGAAAGGATATTTTCTAAAGGATGAGGATTTTTGTAAAGGATTTTTTCTAAAGGACGAGGATCTTTGAAAGGATATTTTCTAAAGGATGTGGATTTTTTGAAAGGATATTTTCTAAAGGACATGGATTTTTTAAAGGATATTTTCTAAAGGACGTGGATTTTTTGAAAGGATTTTTTCTATAGGACCTGGATTTTTTGAAAGGATTTTTTCTATAGGACCTGGATTTTTTGAAAGAATATTTTCAAAAGGACGTGGATTTTTTGAGGGATATTTTTTAAAATGACGTGGATTTTTTGAAAGGATATTTTCTAAAGGACATGGAATTTGTGAAAGGATATTTTCTAAAGGACGTGGATTTTAAAAGGATTTTTTCTAAAGGACATGGACCTGGATTTTTTGAAAGGATATTTTCTTAAGGACGTGAATTTTCGAAAGCATATTTTCTAAAGGACGAGGATTTTTCGAAAGGATATTTTCTAAAGGATGAGGATTTTTGTAAAGGATTTTTTCTAAAGTACGAGGATCTTTGAAAGGATATTTTCTAAAGGATGTGGATTTTTTGAAAGGATATTTTCTAAAGGACATGGATTTTTTAAAGGATATTTTCTAAAGGACGTGGATTTTTTGAAAGGATATTTTCTAAAGGACGTAGATTTTTTGAAAGGATATTTTCTAAAGGACTTGAATTTTTTTGAAAGGATATTTTTAGAAGGACATGGATTTTTTGAAAGGATATTTTTAGAAGGACGTGGATTTTTTGAAAGGATATTTTTAGAAGGACGTGGATTTTTTGAAAGGATATTGGATATCTAAAGGACGTGGATTGTTTGAAAGAATATTGGATATCTAAAGGACGTGGATTTTTTGAAAGGATATTTTATATCTAAAGGACGTGGATTTTTTGAAAGGATATTTTCTAAAGAACGTGGATTTATTGAAAGGATATTTACTTAAGGTTGAGGCTTTTTTCTAAAGGACTTGGATTTTTTGAAAGGATATTTTCTTAAGGACGTGAATTTTCGAAAGCATATTTTCTAAAGGACGAGGATTTTTCGAAAGGATATTTTCTAAAGGATGAGGATTTTTGTAAAGGATTTTTTCTAAAGGACGAGGATCTTTGAAAGGATATTTTCTAAAGGATGTGGATTTTTTGAAAGGATATTTTCTAAAGGACATGGATTTTTTAAAGGATATTTTCTAAAGGACGTGGATTTTTTGAAAGGATTTTTTCTATAGGACCTGGATTTTTTGAAAGGATTTTTTCTATAGGACCTGGATTTTTTGAAAGAATATTTTCAAAAGGACGTGGATTTTTTGAGGGATATTTTTTAAAATGACGTGGATTTTTTGAAAGGATATTTTCTAAAGGACATGGAATTTGTGAAAGGATATTTTCTAAAGGACGTGGATTTTAAAAGGATTTTTTCTAAAGGACATGGACCTGGATTTTTTGAAAGGATGTTTTCTAAAGGACGATGATTTTTAAAGGATATTTTCTAAAGGACATGGACCTGGATTTTTTGAAAGGATGTTTTCTAAAGGACGATGATTTTTAAAGGATATTTTCTAAAGGACATGGACCTGGATTTTTTGAAAGGATGTTTTCTAAAGGACGATGATTTTTAAAGGATATTTTCTAAAGGACATGGACCTGGATTTTTTGAAAGGATGTTTTCTAAAGGACGATGATTTTTAAAGGATATTTTTAGAAGGACATGGATTTTTAAAGGATATTTTCTATAGGACCTGGATTTTTTGAAAAGATATTTTCTAAAGGACGTGGGTTTTTGAAGGGATATTTTCTAAAAGACGTGGATTTTTTGAACGATTATTTTCTAAAGGACGTGGATGTTTTGAAAGGGTATTTTCTTAAGGACCTGGATTTTTTGAAAGGATAATGTATATCAAAAGGACGTGGATTTTTAAAGGATATTTTCTAAAGGACGTGGATTTTTTGAAAGGATATTTTCTAAAGGACGTGGATTTTTTGAAAGGATATTGGATATCTAAAGGACGTGGATTTTTTGAAAGGATATTTTCTAAGGTACTTGGATTTGTTGAAAGGATATTTTTAGAAGGACGTGATTTTTTAAAGGCTATTTTTAGAAGGATGTGGATTTTTAAAGGATATTTTTAGAAGGACGTGGATTTTTTAAAGGATATTCTTGGAAGAACGTGGATCTTTTAAAGGATATTCTTGGAAGAACGTGGATTTTTTAAAGGATATTCTTAGAAGAACGTGGATTTTTTAAAGGATATTCTTAGAAGAACGTGGATTTTTTAAAGGATATTCTTAGAAGAACGTGGATTTTTTAAAGGATATTCTTAGAAGAAGGATATTTCTTATAGGACTACTAGATTTCTAGAATCGAATTTTTAAAGAATATGCCTTAAAGGACCACCAGATTTCTAGACGCGGATTTTTAAAGGATATATCCTAAATGATATATTTTCTAAAGGACTTAGAGTTGTTTGGGCTTCGGTATCAAAAGTATATTTTCTAATGGACAATAAGGGTTTAGAATGGGATTTTTAAAGGGTATTATTATCTGAAGGTTGACCAGATTTCTAAAAGAACGCCAAGGTTTTGGAGATTATTTTTCAAGGATATTTTTTAAGGGGCCGCCAGTTTTTTTGGAAGCAATTTTCTGGATGCAGTTTTTAACAATATTTTCCATCACTTTAATATGTATTTTAATTTTTCTATTGAAGGCTCCCTAAATGTATGCAATGCTTTTTGAACATATTAATTTGTGTGTAAATTGAAGAAAATGTCCTTAACAGATATCTAAGGATAAACATATCAAATATATTTATTTCCTTCCCGGAAATATATCAAAGGCTCCCACTTCCCAATAGATTTTTTTACTATCTTCTCTGCATCTGTGTGTGCGTGTGTGCTCGTTTTCTTTTTCAATCAACCACATCATTCCTTAGATGGAGTATCGCTTATCCGAAAAGGTATGTGTTTCTCACACCAAGGTATTTGAAGCAGGTTCTTTTTTTGTATCGATTGAAATCCATGTTGAGCCATGTAAAGACATATCGGGATTTTTTGGTTTTACTGTCGGAATTTATTATCCTTGGTTAGCGTAGACATGCCGCACATTTGTCTCTGGCTACCCTGTTCTCTTTCCACCTGGAACCAATAACATCTCTATATATATGTGGTGGCATGAAAAGGAATCAAAGGCACAAGGTGTTTCTAGCTGTTGCGGAGCATAAAATTTCCATAAATAAGTGGTTTTTTTGGAGAAAAAGGAAACACCTCCTGCACACCTACTCCCATTTTGAAATTGCTGTGATATGGCATTCTAAATGTTACAAATGACGATTGAAATTAAGTCAATAAAAATCGCATAAAAAACGCTTTAAACTTGAATGAAGGTGAATGAATGAACGAATCGATAGCTGAATCAAGATGTTTTTGAAAGGTTAAGTCAAGTCTGCGAGGAAGTGATAGAAAATCTTGAGAATTTTAAATAGCAACAAATCAAGGGAATGGAGGAGGAGCAGATTATCTGCGAGGTGGATTGAAATAAATTAAATTCACTGAAGTAGGCAAC